TCTTCTTCTTCTTCTTTCTTCCTTCCTTCCTTTCTTTCTTTCTTTCTTTCTTTCTTCTTCACCTTGCCCTTGCCAGGTACCACGCTATACCCCCAGTTGGAGTCTTGTTATCTTTCACTTAGCATAAAACATTCATCTGCTAGTTGAAGGAAATTTGGGTTATTTCCAGTTTGCAGGAATTATGAATAAAGTCTCTAAGAAAACATTTACTTATAAGTTTATGTATAAACATAAACTTTCACTTCTGTTGAAAAAATGCCTAGATGTAAATATTGCTAGGACACGTGGTTACCATGTATTTATTTATAAGAAAGCAAGGCTGGGGATATAGCTCAGTGACAAACACCTGCCTGACAAGCACAAGGTCCTGAGTTCACTTCCTGGTACCAAAAAAATAAAAACAACAAATTCATAACTAAAGTAGATTCATTATTTCCTACTCTTACTAGAAATGTATGAGATGTCCGGTTCTTCCATATGTTTGGCTGCACCTGATACTGCCATTTTTAACAGCTCCATTGAAGTATAATTAACACACAATAAATGGTAGATATTAAGGCTACATAATTTGGTAAATTTTGACACATGTATACCCCACAAAGGCATCCATTACAAGCAACATAACGTATCCATCATCTCTAAAAGTTTTTTTTCATAATTTCTCCTTCCCATTCTCAACCACTGCTCTGCTTTCCATTACAATAGACTGGTTTTCATTTTCTAGAAAAATATATAAATAAAATCATCTATCCACTCTCTTTTCATCTGCCTCTTTCATTCAGCATAATTATTTTGAAATTTGTCTGTGTGGTTATTTACAATAATAGCTCATTCCCCCCCCCATGTATGTCGTATTCGATTATATGGATATATATAAGTCATGTATCCATTTATCTAACCATGAACAGGAATCTGGATTGTGTCCAGATTGGGATTATTACGATAGTGCTGCCAGGAACATTGATATAAACAAATCTGTATGTAGATATACCCTTGTTTCTCTTGGGGGCATACTGAATTAAAGAATGGATGGATCAAATTATATGGTCAGTACATGTTCAACTTTTTTGTTAGTTTGATTTTTTTTTTTTTGAGACAGGGTCTTGTTATGTAGCCTAGGTTGGCCTCGAACTCATGGCAATCCTCCTGACTCCTGAGTGCTGGGATTACAGATACGTGTTACCACACTTGGCATCTGTTCAAATGGCGCTTCCCAAATCTGCTGTCCTCCACTGACATTACCTCATAGCTGTACCTGTACCCACCTGAGGTCATGATCATCCACCTCCTCAGGGAGGTTGGCTACATCAGTTTCCCTAGGGAGCCTGGCTGTACAGTTAACCCATACTTACCCCATTTCAACCTAAGAGGAGGAGGTCTCCTCTCTCATCAAGAACATGTTAAACATGTAAATGATAGCTTTCAGTAAATAATTTAGGAGTTTGACAAACTTTTTTGTTTGTAAAAAGATAACGTTTTATTTCTCCCTTTCCATCTTTTTTCCTCATAGTACCAGGGACTTAACCACGGAACCTCATACTGAACTACATCCCATCACCCCCCTTTCTATATTGTTATTCTGGGAAAGAGTCTCACTGCATTGCCCAGGCTTGGCTTAAACTCACAATCCTCCTGTCAGCCTCCAAGGGTGTTTTGTTTTTATTTTTTTAAAAAGAGTAGGAATATTTTTTTAAAAAAAGAGTAGGAAGATTAATTAGAGAAAAGAAACAGGGAATAGGAATTGGGGATAGAAATTGCTAAGATGGAAGGGTCCCAAATGGTTTGCCAGTGAGCCCACTTCTCAAGGAAGTTTAATAGCCCAAGATCACAAGACAGGTACAACACAGGTCAAATTATGATCAACCAAAAAAAAAAAAAAAGCCCAAACCCTTACAAAAACCAAACAAACAAATTACGATCAACCAAAAAGATTATAAGTATAGCTGCTTATGTAATATTGATCCAGTGGTAGTAAGGGCATATGGTTGACATCATTAACCTTGGTTAATAATATTTAAAAATTATTTTATTAAGATAGGGTCTCATTATGTGGTTCAGGCTAGCCTTGAACTCGCTATGTAGCTTAGGCTAGCCTCAAACTCATGGTGATCCCCCTGCCTCAGATTACAGGCTTGTAGTACCAGGCTCAACTCAAAAATCTGTAGTCTTGTATTTAGTCTTATTCTTCATGGTTTTAGTCTTAGTCTCAATGGTGTTAGTCTTAGTGAGTAGAAGGTAGCCTTCCTCTAATGAGATCATGGGAAATCTCAAAGAAGTGATACTAGTAATTTCAAACTTCTGTTTATCCTTCAGGGAATCAAGCAAATCTGATTATTGTGATTTTAATCTTCAGATGTACCTCCAGACACAGTCTTTAGGAAGGAATAAAATAATCTCCCAAGAAATGAAAGCATATACAATTAAGAATGAGCAGTAGAATGGAAAGGCAGTTTGTGGAAAGAGCCATGTTCAGAAAGTGCTCTTAATGAATTGGAATAATAGTTGTAACCAGTTGGATCTATGCTAATGGAGATTATAAATCTGATACTTCTTGTCATAAGTGTCTCTAGTTTTAGCTGTAAGAAGATCGAGAGTTCATTGGTTTGAAGGACACTTTTGGCTAAAGAATTTAAAGACACTTATTGAGCTTTTTTTTTTTTTTTTTTTTGACAGGGTCTTGCTATGAGTTCTGGCTGGTCTCAAGGTCACTTTGTAGCCTAGGCTGACCTCCAAGTTGCAAGGATCCTCCTACCTCAGCCTCCTGAGTGCTGGGATTGCAGGCATGTGCCACCATAAAGATTTTTGGGGGGAATACTGGAATCAAACTCATGACCTTGTGCTTGCCGGGCAGGCACTTACACTGCTGAGCTAAATACCCAGTCCTTGGTTATACTTTTCTGCCATATTTAAAACCAAGTTAAATGAAAACCCATGAAAATCAAAATTAACCTCTTGCTGCCTATGAAGGTCAGTTAAGTCCCTCAGGCATTACTCTTGAAACTATGTACACAGCCTCCTAGCTCATCTGTCAGTGTCAGCTGTCAGAATGGGTCATGGTCTTCCTTGATCATGTTGCTTTCTGTGAAAACATGGGAGACTCGTCACTCTTTTTTGACTTTCTTTTGGCACACTATATATTTGTTGATTCCTGTTCTCTGGGGTCCACCAATCTCTCTGCTCAGGAGGTTGGGTGACTCAACAAAATCGTAGGATCCTGTATAAATGTTCCTTCATGTTGGGGGTCCTCATTGACTTTGGACAGCCAGGGCCCAAACTCTTAGCCCAGTTACTTCTCTAGGGCTAATTTCCAAACTTCAGTTGCTGAACACCTAGAAGAGAAGATCAGTTATATTAGTACTGCAGAGCGAGCTGTGAATTTAACTATTACAATCTCATCTGAATATCAAGTACTTTGAAATATGAAGTATATCAGAGGACTATTATTTCTTATCAATCATGGTTGTTATTTTTTCCCCATGGTTTTCTAAGTAGTTTAATCCCTGTACAATGTTAACAGACCACACTTATATAGTTTCACAGAGAAAACTTGAGATCAAAAGCCACACATGGTATTTCAACATGACAATCATGATGATATTATCTTCAAACATATTTAATATCCATCTTAGTATAGAATAGCCACTTAGTCAAACATCTCTGTCTGCTCATGAGATATTACATGACACAAAGAAATTCTCACCTAATTTGTTATCCTTCAATAGGATGCCATCCAAGAAGAATACATCTCTCTTTAGGTGTACCTTAGAAGTTTGTAATATCTAGCCTTTGATTTTTAGTATGTGACTGTTTGGTCTGCTTGGCGCCTAGAACATCTCTGGGTATAGTAACATACACATCACATGCTCTGCCACACTCTGTCTATAAAAAGAGTTTTACCTACATGAATGTCCCATGGAACTTTCAAAATGCAATAGGATGTGGGACAATTTATTGTGTAAGACTGTCCACTGTATTATAGCATGGGCTACAATCCTTTAGTACCTTTTATTAAATGCCAGTAGAATATTCTTCTAATCACTGTGACAATCAAAAGTGGTTCCATAAATTTCTAAATACTACACATGAGGCAGTAGTTATCCCCATAAAGAACTAATGGGATAAGGTGATAAATGGAAGAAATCTGCTGATAGATTGTTGAACAAAGCAGGTAATGAAATAAAAGCCATGCTTGAAAGCTGGGAGTAGTGGCACATCCTTATAATCCTATAATTTGGGAAGCTGAGGCAGGAGGATCAGGACTTCAAGGTCAGCCTGCACTATATAGCAAATTCAAGGCCAGCCTGGCTATATAGTGTGACTCTATCTCAGAAGAAATAATTTTAAAAAGTTTGAGGAATATTCTGGTAACTACTTTTATTTTAGGTCTGAGGGCCACGTAAAAAATGAAAAAAAGCTATTTTTATTTTTTCTTTTTCTCTTCTTTCTTTTAGCAGCTAAAATGAGGCAGAGATTTTGCAATGCTAAGAACTAAAACTCATTTTAATCAGAGTTAAACTTATAATACAAGTACAACTTCAAATCCAGTACACTTTCCATTGTATCATGGCATTGCTAGGATGATGAAAACAGAAAAAATGTTTTTTTTTTTTTAATTTTTGCAGTGCTGGGGATTAAACCCAGGACTTTGAGCATGGTAGGCAAGCAATTTACCATGTAACTATATTCCCAGATCTTTTAAAATTCTGACATAATGAAGAATTTTTTTAAATAGGGAAAATCTGAGACCACTGAAAAGCCAAAATTACAAGACTTTAATTAGACAGCTTCATATTAACATTTTGGGGGAAAAAGGTGACCAAAGCTTATTTTCAAACTAAAGATGTATTGGGGCTGGGGATTTAGCTCAGCGGCATAAGCACCTGCCTTGCAAACGTGTGGTCATGAGTTTAATCCCTGGTATCGGTAAAAATACAAAAAACAAAAAAAAACCACAAAACCCTAAAAATTTATTAACATTTTGCTCTTTCTTATTCTAATAGGACATTCATGCACAGCTGAATGACATAATGAACAATGTGCATCGAATAATAGCTCGCTATACCTCTATTGATCCTAACGCACCTGGAAGAAAGACCTCCTATGCAGAAGACAAGAAAACACAAAGAAATCTTGTTTTGGAGAAAATGGCCGCTTATGCTAAGGATGCTGATCTTAGAGAAAAGACTCTTGCCCACATTCTGGCCTGGTTGGAAGAATGGAGTAAGTTTCCATAAGTGGTTCAGAGGAAAACTACGAAGTTAATAAAAAATGATAGAGAAAAGAATCCATAAGTAAATTTTGAGGCATTAATCAGCCTAAAGAAGGAAAGACTAAGGAAGTTATTCAGAGAATAATTTTCCTCTGTTCAAGCAAGAACAAGACAAGTACAGGCTTATTCCTTTCATGCCAGTCTGGTGTCTTTTCCTTCAAGGTTGCTTGCATGTTCCTGGCCAGTGCCCCCAAGCTTGAAGCTTCCTTGCGTAGAGCAATTTTCCCCATGGCCCATACGCTGCTTTACTCCTACTTAAAAACAAGGTCTCCTAGTACCCTACCAGTCACTCTCTATTACTCTTTACCCTTCTTAAATTCTATGTGATTACTATCTGATATATGATATAACTGAATTTTCTTGCCCCCCCCCCATATTTTATTTTTGCCTGTCTCCTTTCTACTAAAATGTAAGTAGGATGAAGTCAAGAACTTATTTTAATTAATGTTTTATCTACAACATCTAGAATGGTACAAAGTAGAGTAGACATAGGTGGAATTAAAGAATGTATAAGGTAAGAATACAGGGAAAAAGGGATTTCATTTGTTGAAAGAAGTCATACACTTGTATTTTAGATGAGTTAGGAAAATAAACCGAACAGATCGATAGTTTTTAACCTGATTCATATTTTCACGTATTTAACCCTTCACTCTAAGTCTCTTCCTTCATAATTTCTTCACAGAGAAAAGCCTCAGAATAACAATTAGTGCAAGACAACTATATTCTCCAGTATCTATATTAAATAATTGTCTAATATTATAAGTCTACATTGCAATGTATTTTTCTGCACACGAATAATTTTTTTTTACTTTCTTCAAGATGCCATTTTATCTGAGATAACTGTAATTGATGTTGATGAACACTACCACTGGCTAGCACAAATGGAGATGTTACCAGAGACATTAAAGATTATTAGCAATGATGTCACGATAATGTGTAAAATTGGTGGATATTTTCTTGACGACAAGACGAAGCAAAAGAAAAAAACATGTAAGCATGCTTTATGAAATTGGAAATAGTTTGACTTTTTCTAAAAATATAGCTTTATTGAGGTATAATCTGCCTGCCTTAATTTTTGTTTTTGTCCTTTTTGGGGTAGAGTCTTACTATATGGTTCAGGCTGGTTGAACTCACTTTGTAGCCCAAGCTGATCTCAAACTGGTGGCAATCTTCCTGCTTCAGCCTCCTGAGTGCATGTTTCATATTAAGTGCACAAATATTTTCAGTAAATTTGTACAGTTATGCAATAATCAACTCAGTCCAGTTTTAGAGCATTTCCATTTTTCCAACAAGATCTTTTGTGCTCATTTGAAATGTCTTCATTCGCATTCACAGCCCCAGATAATCACTGACCTACTCTGTCTTAATGTATTTGTTTTTCCAAGATATTTCATACAAATAGAATCATACTGTATGTTGTCTTTTAATAGCTACCTTTTAAAAATGAGTATAATGCTTCTGAGTTTTAGCCACATTACAGTAAATATTGGTAGTCTCTTTCTTTTGCTAATTGAATATGGTTGCTTGATATGTCACATTTTATTGACTCATATACCAGTTGTTGGGAGATTTGGATATTTCTACCTTTTGGATTTTATAATTAAGGTTTTTTGTTTTGTTTTGTTTTGCTTTGCTTTGCTTTGTTTTGTTTTGAGACATTGTCTCATTATGTAGCCCAGGCTGGCCTCTAACAGTGATCCTCCTGCCTCACCCTCACGAGTGCTGGGATTACAGGCATGTACCACCATGCCTGGTTTTGTTTTGCCTTTTGAGATGGGGTCTCACTGTGTAGTTCAGGCTGGTTTTGAACTCACTATGTAGCCCAGCTCAAACTCATGGTAATCTTCCTACTTCTGCCTCTTAAGTACCGGGATTACAGGTATGTACCACCACATCCAGCTAATAAGATTGTTATAAATACATGTATTCATTATCTGGTGTGTACACACCTGCGAAGTAGAATTGCTGAATCATATGGTAAATCCATTTTCCAAAGTGACTGCTACATTTTCATGGGTAATGTAGGAGAGTTCCGATTTCTCCATATCCTCAACACTTGCTATTTTTGTGTCTTTTAAAAATCATATCAATTCTAGAGGCTGGGGATTTAGCTCAGTGGCATAAGTGCCTTCCTTGCAAGTGTGCAGTCGTGAGTTCGATCCCTGGTACCGATAAAAATGAAAAAGACAAAAAAAATCATATCAATTCTAGTAGTGTGAAGTGGTATCATCTGGGGTTTAGTTTTCATTTCCTTAATAATGAATGACGTTGAACATCTCATTACTAACCTTTATCTTTTTTGATGAAATATATAAATAGTTGCCTTTTCTGTTCATTTTTAACTGCAACATAAAAAATATACATAGTTACAAGATAACCTATAACGCTTCCATCCATATATACATTGTGTAATGTTCAAATTAGGGACTTGCCCTTTTTATATTATTGAATTTTATAATTCTTTATATTTTCTGGATATAAGTTCTTTATCAGAAAAATGATTTGTGGATATTTTGTGGCTTATCTTTTCATTTGTTGGTAGTAATTTTGAAGCCCAAAAGCATTTAATTTTGATGAAGTTCAATCAATTTATCAATATTTTCCTTTATGCCAGCAGTTGGTTGGCTAAGGCAGGAGGACTGCCAAGAGTTAAGGCCAGCCTGGGCTACATAGCAAGACCTTGTCTCAAAAATTTTTTTTCTTTTATGAATCATGGTTTTGGTATTGTACTAAGAATTTGTATTAAGCCAGGCACAGTGATGCCTATAGTCCTAGCTGCTCAGCAGTCTGAGGCAGGAGAATATATATATTCCACTGCATTTGGGGAGCATGTTTTGCTTGATTTCAATTCTTTTACTTTACTGAAACTTGCTTTCTAGCCTAGCAGATTGTCTATCCTGGAGTGTGTTCCACGGGTGCTTAAAAAAGAATATATTTCTACTGGAGTGGAGTATCCCAAAGTTGGTTTAAGCTGGGTATAGTGGTGCACTCCTGTGATCCCAGCTACTTAGGAAGCTAAGGCAGGAGGACTGTAAGTTCAAGACCAACCCAGACAATTTAACAAGACATATCAAAATAAAATTTTAAGAAGGGATAGGATCCAAGTTGTCGGTTCTAGGAGTCTGTGGCAGGAGGATTGCACATTTGAGCACAGCTTGGGCAATTTAGAGTCTTGGGAAGACTGTTCCAAGATAAAAAATAAAAAGGGCTGGGGTTATAGCTAGTAGTAGAGTGCTTGCCTGGCATGTGTAAATCCCTTGGTTCAGTGTCTCGTAGTGAAAAAAAGTTGGTATTTAGTGTTATTTAAGTCTTCTATATACTTACCAATTTTGTCTAGTTATTCTACATCTACTGTTAAGAATGGAATTTTGAACTTTCCAACTGTAGTATTACTGGTGATTCATCTTTCCCTCCCATGAATTCTATCCATTTTTTGCTTCATGTATTTGAGGACTTACGTGTTAGATGCAAGCTAGAGTGTATTTTTTTTTTTTTTTTAGTAAAAGGTGAAAGATATATTTGATCTGAGGAGAAACCAGAGTATGTATGGAGTATAATGGTTTTAATTGACTAGCTTCCTGAAGAATTGCCCCTTTATCATTATAAAATGTCCTTTACTGTCTCTAGAGCTATTTTTTTCAAAAAGTCTGTTTTGTCTGATATCAATATAATCTGTTCAAAGTATCCTTTTCTACCACTTTTCTTTCAACCTATTTGCCTGAATTCAAGTTATGTATGTATGCGGTTTGTAGTTGGATCCTGTGGAATATTTTTTAAAAACACAAGTTTGATATCTCTGACTTTTAGAATGTTTGAAACATTGGTAGTTAATGCAATTATGGACATGGTTTGAGTTACGCCTGCCATTTTTCTGTGCTCTGTACGCCTTGTATCTTCTTTTACTGCCTTCTGTGTTAGACATTTGTCTAACATGGCATACAGTAGTGTCCCCATCCGGGGTTTTGTCTTCTTGTCTTTTTGCAGTTGTTATCATTTGATGTCATGGTATCACAGTGCTTGTGTTCAAGTAACCCTTATTTAACTTAATAATGATCCATGTCAGGCCACAGTCACTGTATGAAATAATAACAATAATAATTGTCCCGAAGTGAAGAGCAGTAATACTGGCAGTTTGGATATGCCAACGAGAAGCTATAAAGTGCTGCCTTCAAGTGAAGGTGAAAGTTCTAGAATTACTAGAGAAAGAAAAATAGCCACATGCTGAGGTTGTAAGATCTATGGTGAGACTGAATCTTCTATCCATAAAGTTGTGAAGGAGGAAAAACAACTCACATTAGTTTTGCTGTCATACCTCAAACTGCATGTGTGATATGTACTTGGTCACTCACCTCATCCCAACATGTAAGCGCCTCACCATCTCATCATCAAAAGAATAAAGATGAGTACTATACAATAAAATATTCTTGGGCTGGGGATTTAGCTCAGTGGCATAAGAGCCTGCCTTGTAAGCATGCAGTCGTGAGTTCAATTCCCAGTACCAAAAAAAAAAAAAAAAAATTCTAAGACCACATTTACACAGCTTTTATTACAGTATATTTTTATGATTGTTTTACTATGTTATTATTGTTAATCTTTTATTGTTCAACTAATTTAAGAATTAAGCTTTATGATAGGTATATATGCATAAGCAAAAACATAGTATATATAGTATATGGTACACTGTTATTTCAGGCATCTATTGGGGGTCTTGTAGTGTATCCCTCATCATATAGGAAAGGGATAGTAGGTATTTCTTTTCCTTTCCTTTGCTTTTCATTTTTAAAGTTTATTTATTTATTTACTTATTTACTCATTTATTTTGGTACTGGGGATCAAACTCATGATCTCATGTTTTCCAGGCACATGCTGTGCTGCTGAACTATATCCCGGCCCCCTTTTTATTTAATTTATTTATTTTTAATTTTTATTTATTTATTTTTTGGGGTACTAAGAATTGAACTCATAACCTCCTGATTGCCAGGTAGGTGCTGAGCTAAAAGCCCTGTAAACCTTTTTTATTTTTGAGATGGAGGTAACACTGTTTCCCAGGTTGGCCTCAAATTCTTGGGCTCAAGTGATCCTCCTGCCTCAGACTCTCAAGAAAGTAGAACTATAGGCACACGACATCAGGCTTGGCTTTGTATTTTAAATTCAGATTAGTACTAACCCAATTCCAATAAAATGTAGAATCTTTGCCTCAATAGCTCCATTCCTTTCCACTCCTTTGTGTTATCACTGATATACACAGCACACATTTATAAGTTAATCAATATAATTTTATAATTATTCTTTATTACTATAAATTGAATATTTCAATTCTTCCAAATTCATGTGTTGAAATCTAGTCATGAATGTACTAGTATGAGGAGGTTGGCCTTTAGAATATGATTATGTCCTAAAGTGAAAGCCCTCACTATTCTTAAAAAAAAAAAAAAAGATTCCAGAGAGCATCCTTACCCTCTAACATAGCAAAAACAAAAACAAACAAAAAGTGCCATCTATAAAAGCAGGCTTTGACTGGATGCAGACTATGCCAGCACCTTAAGTTTTTATTTTTATTTTTTAGACAGAATCTCACTATGTAGTTTAGGTTTACCTTGAACTCACTATGTAGCCTAAGTTAGCCTCTCACTAAAGGCGATCCTCTCCTGCCGCAGCCTCCTGAAAGCTGGGATTACAGGCATGTGCCACCATATCCTACTGCCACACTTTGGACTACCCAGCCTCCAGAACTATGAGAAATATCTTTCTATTGTTTATGTTTATGATATTTTGTTATAGCATCCTGAATAGACTAAAATATATCATCATTTAAATACTGCTTTGGGAGGCTGAGGTAGGAAGATCATTGTAAGTTTGAGACCAGCCTGGGCCACAAAGTGAGCTCAAGGCCAGCTAAATTGCATAGCGAGACCCTGTCTCAAAAAGACAAAAAGACCAAAAAAAAAAAAAAAAAAATCTTGCTTCAGCCTCCAGAGTGCTGATACTATAGGCATGCACTACACCACCAGACTCTGTTTTTTGTTTGTTTCTTCATGAGTGAACACAGAACCTTCTCACTGAACTACATCTCTATAGTTTCTTTCTTTTTTTTCTTCCTTCCTTCCTCCCTTCCTTCCTTCCCTCCTTCCTTCTTTCCCTCCTTCCTTCCTTCCTTCCTTTCTTTGTTTCATATTTAAAACAAGATCTCACTAAATTGCTATATTGCCCATGCTGAGCTCAAGCTTGTGATCCTCCTGCCTGTCTGTACTGCTCCTAGCTGGTGTCATTTCTTTTGATCTGAGGAACTTCTTTGATCCTTCTTGTAAGGCAAATCTGTTGGCAAAAAGTATTCTCAGTCTTTATCTAGGAATGTCTTTATGTCACCTTCACTTTTAAACAAACTAATTTTTAGAACAGTTTTAGGTTTTGTGAAAAAAACAAGAGTTATGATAAGCCTCCCCATTTCTTCCTCTTATTGATATCTTATATTAGTGTATAAACTTGCTATTAGGATACTTTCTTCTTTTGAAGTACTAGGAATTGAACCTGTAGCTCTATGCATGCTAGAAAAGCGCTCTGCTATTGAGCTATATCCCCATTCCTTTTCATTTTGAAACAGAATCTTACGAAGTTGCTTACACTGGCCTTGAACTTGTGATTTTCCTGCCTCTGGCTTCTGAATAGCTGGGATTACACATGTGCACCACCTAACCATGACTTCATAATTTATATTTATGAAAGCAATATTGGAACATTATTATTATAGTACTGGGACTCAAACTCACAACCTCATGTTTGCCAGGTATTATTATTTTTTTGAGACAGGGTCTTGCTATGTAGTTCAGACTGGCCTTGAATTCACTGTTCAGGCTCATGGTGATCCTCCTGCCTCAACCTCCTGAGTCCTGGGATTACAGGCAAGTACCACAAAGCCTGGATGGGATAGTATTATTATTAAATTTCACCATTCAGAATTTATTGTTTTTGACCTTTTTATATTTCAGATAATTACCTTTAGTTTTCATGTCCGCTTAGCTTTTTAAATTTATTTCTTTTCTTTTTCAGCAATGGGGATTGAATACAGAAACTTTGCACTCAGCTACAGTCCAAGCTATTTTTAAAATTTTTAAATTTTGAAATAGGATCTCTCTATAGAGAACTTTTGATTCTTTTGCCTGAGTCTCCCAGAGTGCCTGGATTACAGGTGTGTGCTGTCAGCCCCAGCCATTTAGCCTTGTTTGACTATGACAGTTTCTCAGACTTTCCTTTGTGTTTGATATCCTTGGTAGTTTTGAGAAGTATAGTCAGATATATTGTAAAATGCTCCTTTATTGGAACTTGTCTGATTTTTCATGTTTAGCCTGGAATTGTGGATTTTTAGAAGAAAGAGCACAGAGGTAAAATGCTATTTTCATCATCATGCCACACCAAGGGTATCAAATGATTTATGGCTTGATGTTGACCTTGACTACCAGGCTAAGATGATCAGATTTTTCTCTACTATGAAGTTACTTTTTCTTCCCTTCCCATATTGTAATCTTTGGAGGGAAATCTGTGTGTGCAGCCCACAACTAAGGAATGGAAAGCCCAGCTGCCATTCTTTTACAGTAGAATATCTACATACATTATTTGAAGCTGGGTGTAGTAGTGCATGCCTGTAATCCCAGCACTCGGGAGGCTGAAAGGCAGGAGGATTAGTGTAGTCTGGGCTACAAAGTGAGTTCAAATTCAGCTCAAACTATATAGAGAGACCTTGTCTCAAAAAAAGAAAAAAATATTTAAAATTCTTGTATATGGAGGATTGTCTCTTATATTAATTTATGCACTATTTAGATATGTAAAAATAGACTGATGGCTATCTTACACATTGGACAATACATCTTTATTTCTTGCTCAAGTTGTCCTAGCTTTGGCCACTGAGTGCCTTTTCTGATCCTGTGCCTCTTTGACAAATTCCTATCCATGTTGGTTTGTTTTTGTTTATTTCCTTGTTTTAGCACTTTATTTACACAAGACACATGCTTTAGTTTTATGTGGTGTTTCCTGTCTCAGTTCCAGAATCAATTATTTCTCCAAGGAATAGGTTCTGGCTCCTTTCACTGGAAAAATCAAAGTCTAAGTGCTTGGTGTGTTCATTGTTACTGGGGTTTCATTTCGTTTATCCCTTCTCAGTTGACAGAAAAGAAATATGTGTATGATAACTGCTGAATATAAAGAAATTTAGTAATACTTTTGTACATAACCAGCTGCAACTAATAGCTAAATATAAGTACAGTATTTACTGCTAGGATTAGTGGTGCAAGCCTGTAATCCCAGCACTAAGGAAGGCTGAGGTAGGGGAATTGCAAGTTCAAATCTTCCTTGGCATTTTAGCAAGGCTGGATCTCAAAATAAAAAATAAAAGAAATTAAGGATATAGCCCAGCGGGGTTCAATACCCAGTACTGCCAAAAGAAGCAAACAAACATTTTTATTGATGTCTCCAGCTCTAATTCATTACCCATATGGATCATTCTATCATATTTTCCTTCTTTTGCTTATTTGTAAAGTCCCAGATAGTGAGTATTTTGGTTTGGATCTTAAATGACCTCTAAATGCTCATATATTGAAGGCTGGGGCCTGAGCTGATGGTACTCCTGGGAGTAGGGTAGAAACTTTAGGAGGTGGGGCATAGTGGAAGGAACTGGGTTGCTGGGGTTGTGCCCTTGGCAGGAGATTAGAATTTCAGCTCCCTTTCCTCTCCCTCTCTCTTTCTGCTAACTGGCCACCATGAGGTGAGCAGATCTGTTTGTTTGTTTTGAAATATTTTTTCTGATAAGTCCAGTACCAGGGCCCCTTCAGATACAATTTCTATTGATTGCTTTTCCTTCCTATTTATACAAATCACATTATCCTGATTTTTTGCATGTTTTTCTTTTGTTGTTGTTGACAACTAGATGCTTTATATACTGTACATAGGTTCTGATTCTCTGACGTCCTCTGGGGTTTGTTTTTGTTGCCTTTGTTTTTTAGTGCCTGAACTAATTCTATGAAATCTGTTTCTCCCAGTGTCTAATTTCTCTGCTCAGTTCTTTTTTTCTTTCTTCCCAGGGTCATTCTTGGATGAGTAAAATTTAGTAATCACTCAGTGCTTAGTCAAGCATTAATCTAGAAAGGCTTTCATTCTGCAAATCAGTCTTTGTGTGAGTTAAGGATTTTTCTTTTCTGTAGTAAGTATTAAACAGCACTCTACCACTGAGTTACAATCCAAAATCTTTCTGTTTTTTATTTTGAGACACGATCTCGCTCAATTTCCCAGACTGACCTCAAACTTGCCATCCTCCTATCTTAGTCTCTATTACAGGTGTGCATCACCATCTTGCCAGTTTAGCTCCAGATCAAGCCACTCCTCTCAGGGAGTAGCATTGTTAAGGTTCATATCCTGCCTTGCTGTGGTGCAGCTTTGGGCTGTGGATGTTCACATCCTGCTTCACTGGGGTTCAGCTAAGGCCGTGGATCTTAGCGTTGGGAAAGGGTGTTGGGCACAGAAACAGCTCCAAGTTTTCAGACTTGCAGTAGTTTTGTTTTGTTTTGTTTTCCTGAGGCTTAGTAATTTTTAAAAAATAATACTTCTCAATTTGTTGAATGCCTTTAATCAATTTCCAAAATCCTAAAATGGTTGTTTTGAATTTTTTCTAGTTTTATTATTATTTCTAGGGATACATTTTTTACTAAGTTTCTCACACTCTGAAAATCACTTCAGGTCTTTTCTGCTTGTTAATTTATGGTCCCTTTGAATGAACCAAAATTAACTTTGATTCCAAAAAGGTAGGGAGACAGAAACCCAAGATAGAAACGGAAAATACTAAGCACAGTCAAAGCCAGAGGAACATTTTGGCTTACATTTTATCTAATCCCAAATTTATAACTGAAAGTCAGTTGAGGTAACCACTGAGTTAGTTTCCTAAACCCTTGAAGTAGATGTGGGAAAACAATCATTCTTCTGGATGTGGCAGAGCACACCTGTAATCCCAGCACCCAGGAGACTGAGGCAGGAGGATCAGTGCAAATTTTATACCAGCCAGGGCTATGTAGTGAACTCAAAATCAGCCTAAACTACAGACTGAGACTACAAATTTTGCCTCAAAAAAACAAAACAAAACAAAAAAGCAATCATTTTTCCTAAAATAATAGTTTTTATTTTGGGGCTAATATTTCAGGAATCTTCATTCTATAGTTATTCATTAATTTAAGCTAAAGTTTTTAGGCTTAAACATAGATAGACCATAGCATGAAAGAAGAAATACAACTTTATCATTTTATATTTTTTCTTCCAGTATCTAGAGGTACTCTATGGAAATTGTGGAAAGATAGAGCTATAAAGCGACCTGCAACAGCCCAAGCTTTAAGACCAGAGCAGATGATTAGTGATCAACTTGCAACAGATACAAAGGTTTCAGAAATTCAAGATATGCTACAGGAACTCATAGGCACAGCAATGTTCAACAAATTGGAAAACAGTGCTATTAAATATATATCATCAACAATAATAAATTTTTCTAAAGCCTTGAATATGCTAAATGATGAATTAAAAGTTATGAACTTTTCAAATGCCGTAAAGTATGTAGATGAAGCAAAAGAAGAAAAAATAGTTCCATCCCTAAAAATAATCAAAGATCTCAGTGAACAAAATGAAATGCTTACTCAGAAACTTAAAGATGCAGAAGAAAAATATGAAGAACTTATTCAATCTAAAGTTGTTCCAGGACCCCGAGCATACATATCATCATCCACTTTCTCAACCATGAAAGTACCACCTGGAATTTCTCCACCATCATCCATGACCATAGAGGACACTTTGGACAGTATTTTAAACAAAGATTTTGAACATATAGATGAATCTCAAAGAAAAGGGACCAAAGGCACTGGGATAAAGTGGGTTTCATATACACCCCAAGTTGAAATGACTCCAGATTTAACAGACCAGCAATATATTATACCTGAGAAAAAGCGGAAAATTGTGTCTCAAGAAATTTCTGGAGATAGCGTCTCAATGAAGAAAGATGATAATGATAAAAAAGATGGCACTAGCGGGTATTTATCACAAAACAGAGATCTCACAAAAGACTCACATCCACAGGAGACCACTGAATCAAATTTGAGTACTGGTAAAGATAGACAAAAAGCCTTAGAGACCAAACCTGGTCAACACTCTGAGCAACAGACCCCACAAAAGAAAAGAAAACGGAGAAAATCATCTTCTGAAGCCAAATCAAAGTCATCTACTGAATCAAAAAGCCAACATATCTCTTCTACAAAGACAAAGGACCAAGAACTGAGAAGTGGAAAAGGTTTGTGGGAGAAACTCAGGAAGCTCAAACCTGAATATTTACTTGGAAAAGGCCCAGTTCCAGAGACTGATATAGAACACACCACTAAGGCTGGTGTCACCTCTGAGCCACAGAAAGTTGAAATGGAAGGAAAGAAACACAAGATCTCTTTGGGAACTATTATAAGCAAAGAAGAGAAAACTGGTGAGAAAGAGATGCTTGCCCTCACCAAACAAGCCCAGTCTCAGCAACTTGCTAACGCACCATCAGAGATCACCAAACAGACTCTAACAAGTCCAGATGGCAAAAGTGAACAGAAAAATCTAGAATTATTTCAAAAAGCTATACTGGCTTTTCTAAAAGAAAAAATTGACAACATAGGAAAACCTCTTGATAAAAAGAGTGTGCTGAAGGAAGAAGACTTACTTATAAAAGCAGAAGTTGAAAAGTTAGGAGATATAAAGGCAAAAATGGAGGAATATTTCCAAAAAGTGGCTCAAACTGTAAATAAAATCTTGAGAAAATACAAAGATATAAAAATGGAAGAAGCTGGAGAGAAACCTGTAAAACAAAAACAAGGAACCTCATCTGTGCCAGGATTGCATTTTCAGGAGTCATCGATTGATGCAAAGTCTGAAATTAGGTCCTTCCTCTCAAATGAGAGCACAGATCCATTAATTAACACTTTAATACAAATGATCTTGGATGAAATGGAGAGTGAAAGAGATGTTCCAAAAGTTCTGAAAGGAAAAAAGCAGCAGGAAAAATATTTGCCAGAAGGTCAAGAACAGATGTCTGGTGCGGATCTCAAACATCAACTAGAAGTAAAAAATCTTGAGAAGGAGAACTATAAGATGATAAGTGAGAATTTGGAGGAGAAAAAGGGATTGTTCCAGATAAAGAAGATAAAGCAAAGGAAACAGGAGCAGGAACAGAGGCAGGAAGAAGAGATGGGGAAGGAACAGCAAAAACAGAAGATTCAAAAGCAGACTCCACAAGATGAGAAGCAAAAACAATGGGGAAGTGAGAGAGAAGACTATCAGAAGTCAAAGCAGCAGCAGCTAGAAGCACGGAAGCAAAAGATGAAAGAACAGGGAGTGTCCTTGGAGGAAGAGGAGGATAGAGGGATGATCCAGCATATTCAGACAGAAAGGAGGCACCAGGACCTGAAAATGAGTAGGGAAAAAGATGAGGAGAAGCAGAAGTTGAGCAGAGACATACAGGACCTCAAAATGCAGACACCGAAGACGACAGAGTATCAGATGATAAAAGAACCTGAAGAGCTAGCAAAAATAATTACTCAAACTCCAGTGAAATTATCTTCAAGAAGCAAGAGTGCAATGGAAAATAAGATCCAGTTATACCAAGGAAAAGAGATGCAAAGGAATCTTAAGACATTAGAAAGTCTTCCAGATGGAAAGCCCCCCAAACTAGTCACTTCTCCCACTTCTGCCGAATCCTCCCCAACTGATACCCAGTTTGTTTCTGGGCAGCCGCTCACAAAATACTTCACTCTCAGTCCTGCGCAGGCCCTGGCACTAGGGATCACTCCCAAATATCAGGAGGTTCAGAAAACAGAGTTCACCACTCTCCCTGTGATACCTCAGACCTTGGGGGTAACACTTACCTCTGAGCAGGCACAGGCTTTGAAGGCACCTCTTACTCTTGAACACATTTCAGAAATGCAGTTCCCTTTCATAAGAAAACAGATACAGGAAGTAGAAACCATAAGAATGCAGGAACAACCTCAAACTTATAGGGCCCCAATTACCCTGGAACAGGCACAGACACTAAAGGAATCTCTCATGTCAGAAAAAACTCAGGCAATTCAGACTCCGTCAACAATGAAACAGTCACAGATATTTGGGGTCCCCAGTGTGCAAGGAAAGCATGAGGCCTTCAGGATTACTCACACTCCTCAGCAGGCTCAGCCTCAAGGGATCACTCTGACACTTCAGCAGGCTAAGGACCTGGGGATCACTCTGACCCATCAGCAAGTTCAGGCTCAAGGGATTACTCTGACCCCTCAGCAGGTCCAGGACCTTGGGATCACTCTGACCCCTCAGCAGGCCCAGGACTTGGGGATCACTCTGACCCCTCAGCAGGCTGGGGCTCAAGGGATCACTCTGACTGCTCAGCAGGATGGGGCTCAAGGGATCACTCTGACCCCTCAGCAGGCCCAGGACTTGGGGATCACTCTGACCCCTCAGCAGGCTGGGGCTCAAGGGATCACTCTGACTGCTCAGCAGGATAGGGCTCAAGGGATCACTCTGACCCCTCAGCAGGCCCTGGACCTGGGGATCACTCTGACCCCTCAGCAGGCTGAGGCTCAAGGGATCACTCTGACCCCTCAGCAGGCTCTGGACCTGGGGATCACTCTGACCCCTCAGCAGGCTGGGGCTCAAGGGATCACTCTGACCCCTCAGCAGGCTGAGGCTCAAGGGATCACTCTGACCCCTCAGCAGGCTGGGGCTCAAGGGATCACTCTGACCCCTCAGCAGGCCCAGGACTTGGGGATCACTCTGACCCCTCAGCAGGCTGGGGCTCAAGGGATCACTCTGACCCCTCAGCAGGCCCAGGACCTGGGGATCACTCTGACCCCTCAGCAGGCTGGGGCTCAAGGGATCACTCTGACCCCTCAGCAGGCTCTGGACCTGGGGATCACTCTGACCCCACAGCAGGCCCTGGACCTGGGGATCACTCTGACCCCACAGCAGGCTCAGGACCTGGGGATCACTCTGACCCCTCAGCAGGCTGGGGCTCAAGGGATCGCTCTGACCCCTCAGCAGGCTCTGGACTTGGGGATCACTCTGACCCCTCAGCAGGCTGGAGCTCAAGGGATCACTCTGACCCCTCAGCAGGCTGGAGCTCAAGGGATCACTCTGACCCCTCTACAGGCAAGGGAATTGGGGCTCACTCTGACCCCTCAGCAGGCTGGGGCTCAAGGGATCACTCTGATCCCACAGCAGGCTGAGGACCTGGGGATCACTCTGACCCCTCAGCAGGCTGGAGCTCAAGGGATCACTCTGACCCCTCAGCAGGCCCAGGAACTGGGCATCACTCGGACCCCACAGCAGGCTGTGGCTCAAGGGATCACTCTGACCCCTCAGCAGGCTCAGGACCTGGGCATCACTCTGACCCCTCAGCAGGCCCAGGACCTGGGCATCACTCGGACCCCTCAGCAGGCCCAGGACCTGGGGATCACTCTGACCCCTCAGCAGGCCCAGGAACTGGGGATCACTCTGACCCCTCAGCAGGCCCAGGACCTGGGCATCATTCAGACCCCTCAGCAGGCTGGGGCTCAAGGGATCACTCTGACCCCTCAGCAGGCCCAGGACCTGGGCATCACTCTGACCCCTCAGCAGGCTGGAGCTCAAGGGATCACTCTGACGCTTCAGCAGGCCCGAGACCTGGGGATCACTCTGACCCCTCAGCAGATTTGGGCTCAAGGGATCCCTCTGACCCCTCTACAAGCAAGGGAATTGGGGCTCACTCTGACCCCTCAGCAGGCTGGGGCTCAAGGGATCACTCTGACCCCTCAGCAGGCTCTGGACTTGGGGATCACTCTGACCCCTCAGCAGGCCCAGGACCTGGGCATCACTCTGACCCCTCAGCAGATTTGGGCTCAAGGGATTCCTCTGACCCCTCTACAAGCAAGGGAATTGGGGCTCACTCTGACCCCTCAGCAGGCTGGGGCTCAAGGGATCACTCTGACCCCTCAGCAGGCCCAGGACCTGGGGATCACTCTGACCCCACAGCAGGCCCTGGACCTGGGGATCACTCTGACCCCACAGCAGGCCCTGGACCTGGGGATCACTCTGACCCCACAGCAGGCACAGGACGTGGGCATCACTCTGACCCCTCAGCAGGCTGGGGCTCAAGGGATCACTCTGACCCTTCAGCAGGCCCGAGACCTGGGGATCACTCTGACCCCTCAGCAGATTTGGGCTCAAGGGATCCCTCTGACCCCTCTACAAGCGAGGGAATTGGGGCTCACTCTGACCCCTCAGCAGGTTGGGGCTCAAGGGATCACTCTGACCCCTCAGCAGGCCCAGGATCTGGGCATCACTCTGACCCCTCAGCAGGCTCAGGACCTGGGCATAACTCTGACCTCTCAGCAGGCTGGAGCTCAAGGGATCACTCTGACCCCTCAGCAGGTTCGGGCTCAAGGGATCCCTCGGACCCCTCAGCAGGCTCAGGACCTGGGCATCACTCTGACCCCTCAACAGGCCGAGGACCTTGGGATCACTCTGACCCCTCAGCAGGCCCAGGACCTGGGGATCAGTCTGACTCCTCAGCAGGTTCAGGCTCAAGGGATCACTCTAACCCCTCAGCAGGTTCGGGCTCAAGGGATCACTCTGACCCCTCAGCAGGCCCAGGAACTGGGGATCAGTCTGACCCCTCAGCAAGCTAGGGCTCAAGGGATCACACTCACCCCTCAGCAGGTTCAGGCTCAAGGGATTTCTCTGACCCCTCAGCAGGCCCAGTACCTGGGGGTCACTCTGACTCCTCAGCAGGTTCGGGCTCAAGGGATCACTCTGACCCCTCAGCAAGCTGGGGCTCAAGGGATCACTCTGACCCCTCAGCAGGCTCAGGACCTGGGGATCACTCTGACCCCTCAGCAGGCTGGAGCTCAAGGGATCACACTGACTCCTCAGCAGGCTCTGGACCTGGGGGTCACTCTGACTCCTCAGCAGGTTCGGGCTCAAGGGATCTCTCTGACCCCTCAGCAGGCTGGGGCTCAAGGGATCCCTCTGACCCCTCAGCAGGCCCTGGACCTGGGGATCACTTTGACTCCTCAGCAGACCCAGGACCTGGGGATCACTGTGACTCCTCAGCAGGCCCAGGACCTGGGGATTACATTCAGTCCTCAGGAGAAACAGCTCCAAAGGATCACACTCACCCCTCAGCAGGTACGGGCATTTGGCATTCCTCTCACCTGGCAAAAGCTTGCCTCATTGGCTCTTTCCACTCTTAGGCCATCTCAGCAATTGAAGGCTTTTTCCATTCAGAAGTCCACTACATCAAGATTATCTCCAAAGGCTAGACTGCCCCTGACATTATCTGCTCCTCCTCCTCCTGAGAAGATCTCTGTATCTGAGATTTCTTCTCCTTTGCAAAAATTAAGACCTCTTCTCAGCCAAGCCCCTTTTACTCCTGGGAAACACTTACGAATGAGCATTAGTTCTGCCCCTGGAAGGCTCCTGGGCCCACAGATTGTTCCTACCTCCAGACAGATGCTAGTACTTAAAGGTCAATCCATTTCTGCAGAGCCTCTACCACAAGAAGTTTCTCCCATTCCTGGGCAGCATCCAATATCTGGGGCCCCTCCTGCTATAAAGCAGCCCCTTCAACCAGAGGCCCTTAGCGATGGTCACTTCATATTTAGAGGGCCTCTGACTCCCTGGCCACCTCTGGATTCTCAGGCCAGTCTCACCCTCAGGCCACCTCTTGTATCTAGAGTCCCACCCAACTTTGGACAGATTCCTTTCTCTCTTGGGCAGTACTTGGTTCCAGAAGTTTCTTCCATTGGTAGGAAAGAGTTCAGCGAATCTGAACGCTTATCCTTCTCTGAGCAGTCCCAGGGATTCCAGCCTCCTGCCACTCCTGAGCAGCCTCTGCAGACCCCTTCTACCTTCAGGCACCCTCTGGCACCATGGACGCTTCCTGGGCAAGTTTCCCCATTACGGCTCCCTCCCACTACTAGGCATCCCTCCACACTATGGGCCTCCTCAGCCCCAGGGAAGCCTCAGAGAGTTCTGTCTTCTTCTGTCACTCAGAAAAGACTGGGAATTACCTCTGCTCTAAAATCTAAATCAGCAGTGGTCCAGGCAAGGGCTTCAGATTTGAAGGTATCTCAAGCTCCTTTCATCAGTAAGAAGTTCCAGATATCAGAGCTTTCCGACACTTATGAAGAAACCCAGATACTCCAAGACACTGGTGTCATGGAACCATTTGGAACATTTCAGTTGTCTCTCACCGGGTATAGGATACCAGTTTCACAAACCTCTTACACTGATGAGGGGGTCCTTTCCACTTTCATGAAGCCTGAAACATCATTACCGTCTCTTGTTGCTCCGCTACCCAAAAAGCCACGAAGTTCACCTCCTCAAGGGGACCAGAAATCTCGATTCCCTTCCATAGAACAACCCTGGATGCTGACTTTGGTTTCAGATACCAAGAAACACAAAATGATGGTACCTCCTTCTCCTAGAGAGATTATAGAGAAGAGATATTTTGTGGATGTAGAGGCTCAGAGGAAGAACCTGATACTATTAAACCAGGCCACAAAAACTTCTGGACTCCCACTGCAGCAATACACAGCAGCTAGGAATCTCATAATTGGAACACTTCACATGGACACAGTCCGGCTGGGATACCTGGCCCGCAAGTATATCGCCTATAGGCTAATCCAACATGCCAGGTAGATGTAATTATGTTTTTTTCTTTGTATCTTGCATTGCCTAGAAGTCTATTCATATTTGTCAGACCATATGCTCTAAAACATCCTCTTGTAGAAGAAATGTAGGACAGAAGCTTATTTAAAATAGCAAAAGGAGAAGCCAGGTGTGGTGATACACACCTATAATCTCAGAATTTAGGAGGCTGAGGCAGGAGAATTGCTACAAATCTGGAGTCAGTCTGGGCTATACAGTGAGTTTAAGGCCAGTCTGAACTACATGGCAAGATCCTGCCCCAAAAAAAAGAAACAAAAACAAAAACAAAAAACAGATAGCAAATGGAGGATTTTTTTGTTTTTGGAAATAAGAAATGGTATATAACGTGATCAATATCATCCATTTATATCTCTAGCAGAACTTTTAAGGTATATTTTGTGGATCATGGTTGATCTCCAAAGTATCAACTTCAAAAGTTCAGAGATGTATGCCAGTTATTCTGAATTTCTTTCATCTTTGGTTCACCAAAAGATGTATGACCTTTTGAATGGGAATGATAGGTTACATAAAGTATTGCCACTGTAAATTTGCTGCTGCCCTTGCTTGTTTTTAAATTGCTAATATGTATCAAAAATGGGTCAGGGTAAATAACAATTGGCCTGCTATCCTCAACATTTGCATTTGAGGTTACAAATTCATTATTTATTAGAAGTTTGTACATTTAAAATAACAGGATGCTTAAGTAAAACAGTAACAGGACTGGTTTTCATTAATTATAGGAATAATTTATATAATTCATTTGAGAAGTACTTACTGAATACTTAAAATTTGCCCACTGTTGTTCTAGGTGCTAAGGATACAATGAGGAATAAAACAAAGACCTTTATTCATGAAATCAATCTATCTATCTATCTAGACAGCATCTCACAATATTGTCCAGGCTGTCTTTGTTGAGCTTACTGTGTAACCCAACTTGGTCTTAAATTTGTAATCCTCCTGCCTCAGTCTCTTGAGTGCTAGGATCAGAAGCTTGCATTACAATGCCTGGTTTGAAATTTACATTTTTTGAACCAAATTCATTTGGAAACAAAGAATTGGAACAAAATACAAAAGGATAACCTTTCCAAGTTATAATTGGTATTTTTAATTTTACTCATTTTTTTCTTTGAGACAGGGTCTTGCTATGTAGCTCAAGATGCCTTGAACTCACTGTGCAGCCCAGGCTAGCCTCAAACTCCTTGTTGTCCTTCTGTTTCAGTCTCCTGAGCACTGGGATTATAGGCATGTACAATCATACCCTGCAGAATTTTAACGTAATTTAAATTTTTGAATTTTTAATTTTAATGTGTCATCTGAGATCTGTTGAAAAATGTTCTATACTTGTATTTAGTTCTCTCTTTCCAATTTTTTTTTAATCAATACTGGGGACAGAACTCACAATTGCACTTGAAAGGCAGGTGCTTATGCCACTGAGCTAAATCCCCAGCCCCTCTCTTTCCAATTTTAAATCTAAAATTGGAAATTTAAAATCTAAATTTTACATGTAAACATTTTCATTCACTTGAGAATGTTAAGTGATACATTTCTGGAACTGGTTATCTTCATGTTTGCTATTTCTTTTTTCATTTTTTATATTTAATTTTTTAAAAGTAAGTCATACATTACGTGTTAACAAGACTCAAAAAATGCAAATAGTACAGTGAAATTCTCTTTAATAACCCTCTTTTTGGCCAGCCAGATTCCTCCCGTGGACCACCAGTTTTAATGAATGTCCAACCAGAAGTACTTTCTGCATGCGTAGAACAGGACATATACTTTTATTCCTCTTTTTATATACTTTAACCATACAATTTTATAGCATAACTGATGTATTTATAGGTATTAAATTATTAAAGAATGTACTCATTTATTACATAGCTACAGAGTATTCCCAAGTCTAGACTTAGCAGAATTTATTTAATCTTTGGTGGGATATTAGCATTCTTCAATATCTTGCTATTAAAAAAATAGACTTCAGTGAGTAATCTTACATATACATTACAATTTAGAACTTCTCAAAGAGTAAATGCTTTTTAAATTTTAATATTTTGTCAAGTTGCTTCCAAAAAATTATAATAATGTACATATTGATCAGTATTATGAAAGAATATTTTTACACATCAAAAGCAAAGAGTATTATCAAACTTTTTTGTTCACTACCAATATGATAGATGAAATACAGTATATAACATTTCTTGTTTTATTTTGCATTTCTTTTATCATATGTAAAGTTAAGCATTTTTCATAGATTTAAAATCCATCTGTATTTTATTTTCTCTGGAAGACCTTCTTCAAATCCGATATCTATTTTTAAAATTGGTAATCTGGCAGTGGTAGTGCACAACTGTAAATCCCAGTACTTGGGAGGCTGAGGCAGGAGGATTGTTGCGAGTTCGAGCCAATTTGGGCTACAAAGTGAGCTCAAGGGCAGCCTGAACTGCATAGCAAGACCCTGTCTTAAGAAAGTAAAAAAATAAAAATAAAATAAAATTGGATTGTCAAAAAGGTTTTAAATTGATTTATATAGCCTATCTAAATATTTGGAAAATTAACTTCTTGTCCTTGATATAAATTGCTAAATTTCCTCCACTTGTATTTTGATTCTTTTTGCAACATTGCTTTGTAGAAAAATTTGATTTGTGCATCTTTAAATACACCAATATTTTAAATAATGGATTGTACTTTCTTTGAAATTCTCTCCCTGAGAGAATTTACATTTTAGTAATTACATTTTAGTAATTCTTTCTTGAGCCAGGTATGGTAGCGATTGCCTACAATCTCAGCACCCAGAAGGCTGAGGCAGAGGTATCATTGGGAGTTCAAGGCCAGCCTTGATTACATAGCGAGTTCAGTTAAACTACCTAACAAGATCCTGTCTCGATAAATAAATAAAAAATAAATAAGTAAATTCCAAGTTTCTTTAGTATTTTCTAAGTTTGGTTATTATTTTTCATCTTGTAGTTAAGTCTGTGATTTATAATTTGCTGTTATGAGATACGTACCTCATTTTTTTTTTTTTAACATTGACTACCCAGTTGCCTGATAACTATTTGCAAGGCCAGCCTAGGCTACACAATGCATTCAGGACCAGCCTCAACTACACAGTGATATCCTGTCTCAAAAACAAACAAACAAAAAAACAGGCATGGTGCTACACAACTGTAACCCCAGCACTCAGGAGGCTGCGGCAGAAGGATCACTGTGAGTTCGAAGCCAGCCTGGGCTAGAAAGTGAGTTCAAGCCCAGCCTGAACTGCATAGTGAGACCCTGTCTCCAAAAAAACAACAAAAATACATGGTTTTATGCTTTCCTATAAAGCCTCCTTTATTACTCTTTTTAGAACTAATTATGTGTTCTTTTCACTCATACTGCGTGTTTGTATTTCTTGATTTATTAATCTTCTGTTCGGGGTTGTAAATGTTTCAAAGATAAGGACAATATTTTTCATAATTCCATGGGTCCTATACATGCCAGTATTTTTTGTCTTTTCTTTTCTTTTTTTTTTTTCAGTATTGGAGATCGAACTCATGACCTTGTGCTTGTCAGGCAGGCGCTTATGCCACTGAGCTAAATCCCTGGTCCTATTTTTTCTCTTATTTATTTATTTGGTACTGGGGATTGAACTGACCACGCGCCTGCAAGGCAGGCACTTATGCTGCTGAGCTAAATCCCCAGCCTCTATGCCAGTATTTTTTTTTTTTTGCCGCTTTTTAAAAAATTAAGTATTTTATCACCTAAGATAATTTCTATTATAAATCAGTATACATGAATTTTTAATAAAATAGTAATTAAGCAACACTATTGTAACACTAAAAAAAAAACTGTGAAGAGTTCATATTTGGTAGATTATTAGAAGTTTACTCGTATAGAGAACTAGAATAAAGTCCCTTTAGATAAGCTTCTCATCCCCTACTTCTTTACTTAATAGGGATAAGATGGAAGTGAAAAGAAACCAAGGGCAAGTTTGCTGAGCCAGATTCAGTAACTGTATCAATCTAATTCTTGTTAATTTTTTTTTAAGAAACAACATAATCAAACGATTAAAAGCCATTCAAAACACTGGGAAAGGTTATGAGATCCAGAACCTCTACGTCATGCTTAGCAGAATTGATGATTATCAGAAAAAGGTGTTGAGAGTCTGGACTGAAAAACAGAAGTCTTTAGAGCAGAAACGAAATCAAGGCCTGCAGAAAATGGTGCACTTATTTAGCCAGGTAACCTGTTTTCCATTCTCTCTTTTCCTCTAGTGTGTTGCAAACAGTAAACAAAAGTGGCAAACTTTGAAAAATAACTTTACCTGGGGGCTGGGGATTTAGCTCAGTGGCCTAAGCGCCTGCCTGGCAAGCTCAAGGTCATGAGTTCAATCCCCGGAAAAAAAAAAAACAAACAAAAACAAAAAAACACTTTACCTGAAGAGACTATGTGTATTAGGGTTCTAGGGCTGCTATGACACATTACAAGTTTGATTTAACACTACATACTCTGTGGAACAGGAAAGGGATCTAGGGCTACAAAGAGATGGGATGGAGGGGAAGGGGGAATCAAAACGATTGAGATGTGGTATGGATACATACATACCAGTTCCCTACAAGGAATGCATTTATTATATGTCACAAACGTGTACAAGTAAAAAGATAAAAATAAAAAAATAAACACAGCTTCACAAATGAAACAAAAATCCTGCAGAAATTCACTTTCTCATAGTTTTCGAATCCAGAATTCATGCAATTGAAGTGTCAGGATTAGTTCCTTCTGGAAACTTTGAGCAATCTTTTCCATGCCTCTCTCCTAAATTGTATGGCTATCAGCAATTACTGGCATTCCTTAGTTTGTAGCCATATTACTACAATCTCTGTTTTCTTCAAATGGCCTTGTGTGTTTTGTATCTGATCTCTTTTTATTTTTACTATTTATTTTTTTGAGACAGAGTCTCACTAAACCACTAAGTTGCTCAAATTGAGCTCAACTTTTGATCCTTGCTTTAGCATGCTAGGATTTTAGGTATGCACCACTCCCCCACTTCCTCTGACTCTTAGAAGGTCAAGTGTCACTGGATTTAGGACACATCTGATTAATCTGGGATGATCTCATTTTAAGATCCTTAATTTATTTACATTGGCAAAGTCCCTTTTGCCAAAAAAGGACACATTCACAGGTTTGGATGGATACATATTTTGAGGAACACCATTCAACTCACTAAGCCATGCCACTAGTGAGATTAACAGTTATATTTTCTGGATCTCTAGATGAGAAAAGAATGAGAATAGAAGAGACTTCCAGAAATGCTCAATTGCTTCCTATTCAACTCACATTTACCAGCTTCTAGATGACTTGAGTTTTCTGCTTTCTAACTGATTCTAAGTGGTTATTTCTGACCTCAAAACTGTCAAGAAGTTAGTTTTAAATCATGAATTTATGCTGGGAATTGTGGCACATGCCTGTAATCCCAGCATTTGGGAAAATGAGACAGAAGGCACAGCTGTGAGTTCAAGGACAGTCCAGGCTACAAAGTAAGTTCAAGGTCAACCTAAACTGCATCACAAATCTGTGTCTCAAAAACATGAAAATAAACAAATAAAATTGTTAAAAATTATGAATTTACCAAAAAATTATGAATTTACAACAAAGGAAAAAAGAATTTGTTTAACTTAGTGACACAGCACCAAGGACAGAAGATCCTGTTATACCATAGTATCCACTCATTATGTTCAGGAATTCTTTTTGTTTTTTTTCAGGAATTCTTCTGAGGTAAATATAAATATGCCTTTGGGTGTGATAGCAACTTTTAAAAAGGTTATAGAATTATGATTAGGTTCTTTGTCTTGGGATTATATGTTATGAATCTTCTAGCACAAATTAGAGTACTAATAATGAATACCACAAGCTAGAATCCTAGGAACACTTGTCTATCTATACATTCTTTCATTTAGCACTAATTATAAATTTTACTTACTTGCTACTTTGGCAGCCACAAGGAGACTTCTCATCATGACCTCATCCAAACCAAATATTCTGAATTTTCCAGCACTGCTACATTTTAAATAATATGGCCGTTTGTTAAAAAAAAAAAAAATCAATATGCTTGCTTTTGGTTTGGCATATAGGGCCCATGTAGATTGAGTACAGCAAGATGGGTTGGCAGTGACATGAGCTATCTCACAGGAATGACAATGTCTGGGACATTACAGAAGATGAATATGGATGTGGCATCAGGAAAGCCAGAAACTAGATGAGTTTGAGACAGTGTGAACTACACAGTGAAAGCCTGACTCAAAAAGAAAAACAAACAAAAAAAGAAAGAAATGAAGAAAAGAGATGAGGCTAGATTACGCTAATAAGCCAAAGTCTCATAGTTATGAAATCAGATGAACAGGAGTGGAGTTTAAGTAAGACCAAGGTTTTTATAGATCATAACCACTACCTCTGAAACTGCACGTTGGCAGTAGAGTATGGGAAGAAGATGTTCAGACCTCTAGAAAAGAAGCTATAGTTTAGTCTCAGTCAGTTTAGAAGACTTTCCTAAAAATCTTGGCCCTATGTTTTCATGATTCCTTTGTTTTATCTGATCTTAGTCAAAAGACTGTGAAATGATAAGGTGACTCCTCTTTTTTCTTCTTATTTGTAGCTCCAAGAGATGTATAAATTGAATCTTAGTCAACCTATCCCCTTGATAGTTGCCAAAAAGCAGATACCTGCCGCTACCAAATTTGTTACACAGCCATACCTAGAGTTACTAACTGAAGAGGACAAAAAATCTGATGTTTTCAAGAAATTTAGGTATGTAATAGAAGGACTGGCATAAAACTTTGTAACTTTGTAGGATGTGTGGCACCCAATGCTTTTTATTTATTTATTTGCTTGTTTTTAGTTCTGCCGAAGAACTTCCTTTTACTCCCCATGATGATACATACCAGGGAGAGTATGTGGGAGTGTCAATTTCCTTAGCTAATTTATCAAGACATTGTTTTACTTACACTTCTACTTAAATATTTAACATTTGATTTTGAGTTCCTTTAAAACTATAAAGCTGATTTCTTCTAAGAAACTAATTATTTTAAGAATAGCTAATAAACTGAGAAACATCAACCCCCTCCTTTTTGGTTTTTCTTCCCTCTACTGCTTTTCTTTCCTTTCTTTTTTTTTCTTCCTTCCTAAGAAGGGGGGAATTTGGGGAAGAACAGGGGAAAAGATATATGGCCTATATATTTGATGAAGCTAAGAAGGTAATTTTAAAAATGTTACTAGGTAAACTTATGGAAATACAGCTTTGTTAACTATATCAGCCTTTTAATTCATTCCTCTGTCAAAGTGGGCACAGCAAAGGAAGGGCATTACGGGACAAAGTGATGGTAAAGAGAAGAAGGAAGAATAAGACTCATATTTTATTGGTGGGGAGCTCATGAGAATTTGACACTTCCACCTAATATTCTCTGATCCTATAGACAAAAAGAAGTTGTGAAGGAGGCCATTTGGAATGCTGATCTGTCCACCTCAAGCTATCCAATAACAGAGAAGACATCAATAACATCACTCTGGGCCCAGCTGGGTGGATACCCAGATATTCCTAGACTGCTCCAGTTTGATATTCAGTCTACTTTCAGAAAATCTCTTGCGTCCATTCAGTCACAGTAAGTAAAGGACTGGAAGCATTCTGGTAAATGGGCCTTTGGTTATACATTTTTTGTTTCCTAAACTTTCTCTTTCAAACTACCAAAAATAAATGTATAGCGTGAGGTTAGATTTATACCGGTCACAAGACAGAGATACGTAGAGAACTAGTGTTTCTTATTACAGGCCTATGATGTCACTACTGAATAATATAAAATGGACAATTATAATATCATAAACCTAATCTAACATTCGATTGGTGCACTCAGTAAATGAGTCAGGTGTGGCTTCCCATGCCTGAAGGCTCAGCTGTTCGGGAGGCTGATCACAAGAGGATTATCTGAATTCCCAAATTTGAGACCTGCTTGGGCAGCATAGTGAAATTATGATTAAAAACAAAAATCAAAACGACTTGAGGTAAATTAAGTACTTATATTTGATAATACACTGACAAGATAGAAAAAAAAAACAGGTGAAATGATCATTATAGCTCCATATTTCCAAAATCTGTTGAATTAGAGTCTCATGTTAACCACTGGAAATTATTTCAATGGAAGTAAAGAACTTCAGAGTCTGCATTAGTTCTTTCTGGAGGATAATATTCTAAATTAAGAATTTAATTTTTTCTCTTGAGACAGGGTCTCATTACATAGTTCAGGTTATCCCTGAAACTTGCTATGTAGCCCAAGCTGGCCTCAAGCTCATGGTGAGGCTCCTATACCAGCTTCTCAAGTGCTGGGATTACAGGTATGCACCACCACACCCGGTTTAAACTAAATAATTTAGAAAATTGAGCTGTATGATTTATTTTGTGAAATCCAAGTCCTGAACTAAGAAATAGTAGTATTAACTCACAAATGTGTTCAGGTGGTAGATACTATGAAATAAAACATTTATAATCTATTACATACAGGACACAAAAATCAGCTAGATATGGTGGTGAACTACTGTAATTCCAGCATTCTGGGAGACTGAGCCTGGAGGATTTTGAGTTCAAGCCCAGCCTGGGCAATTTAGCAATACACAGTCTCAAAATACAAGAAATAAAAAGGGCTGGTATTTTCTTCTCCTTGACCACTATCTACCCTCAAAATTCAATGGTCAATTATCTAGTAAATCCTGGGTTAGTACTTCTCTTAGGAATCTGATATCTATTGTCCTTTTTTTTTAGCTGGTTATCCTATTGTGTTTCACCAAGATTTCCATTTTGCCATGCTAATAAATACAAAATATATGCTAAGAGTTTCTAACTTAGAGGTTATGTGAAAACTTCCAGACTAGGAGACACCAAAAGCAGTGAAAAATTAATATATGAAAGGAAATTAAGATAAATATGGTATAGCATATGCCTGTAATCCCAGATACCTGACAAGTTGATACAGGAGGACTGAAAGTTGAGATCAACCTGGGCAACTTAGTAAGATTATGTCTCTAAATAAAATTAAGGGTACCGGGAGATAGCTCAATGGTAAAGTAATTTTCACAAGATCCTAGGTTCAATACCCATGCCCTCTAAAAAAAATTTATGGGAAATAAGTAGAAAAACTGAAGCCTTTTTAGTTTTTATTCTCCTGTGAAATGTTTTATGTTCATTAAAAATATATTATAGGAAATATCAAGTTTAAGAATATTAAACCAGATGTAATGGTACATGATTGAAATCCCAGCATCTCAAGAGGCTGAGGCAAGAGGATTTTCATCAGTTTGAGGTCAGCCTGGGCTACATAAACAAGTTCAAGGCCAGTTTGCATACCCAGTAAGCTACTGTCTCAAACAAAACAAAACAAAACAGAAAAATAACTTTAAGACATTTAAAAGGGGCAGTACAAATTCAATTACTATTTAGCATGCTCTCTCCTTTTTCTCTGCTAGAATCTCCACTGTCTGTCCCTTAAAGAGGATGACATTTATGTTACCTTATTGCAGTTCAAATACAAGCCAAGAGATTTCATTTCCTCTGAGTCTAGTTATTCTTGCCATCCATTATGTCTCACCTTAAACAATTCTCTTTTCTGAATTGCCTATTCTGCCCCCTCATGTGGGTTCCCAGTGTACCTTGAAACCAATACTATTCTAACTCCTGCATGTGGTAATCCCCTCATCACAGTTGAAAACTTCATGACAGCAAAAGCTGTTTCTCTGTGTCATCATTTCAAAGTGGTGTATATAATTTTCAAAAGCCCTTTTATCAGCCCTGGCTACTTCATCATGCTAGTTATGCTAGGAATCTCAGTTCTTACTTTAAAATTGTGAAACTGAGACCTTCCAGTAAGCCATGCAAACAAGCCATGTAGGGTCCAGGAAGAGAGAAGCCAGAAAGCACCTCCTCTGAGCTATCCTGTGCAGGCTGAGAATCAAGAACTATCCCCACCAAATCCCGCCCCCCGTCCACAAGCAACCACCTGTTTGGAGGACAGACTGAGTTGATAGCAACTGAAGTACAAAAAGCAGCTGAATGCTTGAATTGTTTGGTTGACTTTGCAAGTCTTGGGCTGGTGGACTGAGCATCTATTGGGAAGATAACAGTATGCAGTATGGCAAATATGGGGGATTTCTTTCTGTCTTGTTTTTGAAATCCAATATTGTTCTCACTGTTTTGTTCTGATTTATTGTTTTGCTTTATTCAATGTCCTGCTTGGGTTGGTTTTATTCTGTTCGGTTTGGTTTGATTTTGATATTTCTGATGGAATGAACAACTACTGTAAAGATAAGAAATACTATGGTAGCCATTGTTGATTTCCTATTATCCTACTTCAAAATTCTGTACCAATTTCACTACTTTGCTTTGATCTAAAGTCGCTTCTGTTTCGTTGGTTTGGTTTTATTATCTTTAAAATAAAAAAGTTTTTAAATAGTAAAATTGTGAAACCACTCCTTATTGGCACAAAATGTTTCACCATTATCACTTGTCAATGGAATGTCCTTTAGAGGTCTATATTTATACCCCTAGCTTTTTCACAAGTTGTAGACTGACAGAGGCTGTCACCTGCCATCTGCCTTTTATCTACACTATAACAGCCTTTCCACCTTGATCTAACATTGTTGATGATGGCTTACTAATTTGAGTAACACTTTTTAGCAATGCTAGCTTCCTTATATAAATCTTTTCTCTGTATTATTGTTGAGATTGTGGATTTTTTTTTTTTTGGTACTAGAGATTAAACTCACAACCTAGAGCTTGCCAGGCAGGTGCTTATGCTGAGAGATTGTGGATTTTGATGTGTTGTATATAATTAGTGAGATCAGTCACACGAATGCCACTCTCATATCTCTCCACAATTTTCTTCTTCTTTTCTATTGTGATTGGTTTTTTTTTACTCTTCCCTTCCTTAGCCTCTTTTCTAGATATTTTGGGACCATTTTGATAGCAGTAATCATAGCAATTATACAAAGCACTGACTGAAATCCATATAGGCTCAGAGTGATGCTAAGCAAGCTTACACATGCTTTTCTGGCATTACCAGTCTTTGTTTACAACTGGACAAGGAGCCAGCATTTGGGTGTAACTCAAGACTTTGGTTGTAAGTTAAACCTAAAATTTCTGTCGTAGCTCCAATGCTTTGTATGTGAGACCAGTCCACTTCAATGTTTTGATTTCAAAATTCCATGTACCCCAAAGTGGGATTGCTTAGTCACATAGTAATTGTTTTCAGTATTGTTTTTCTAATTTACATTCACATCAACAGTATACAAGGGTTCCCTTTAAATCTTCTTACCAACACTTACCTTTCATCTTTTTGGCAATAGCCCTTTTAACTAAGGTAGGAAGTGACATCTCACTGTGGTTTCAGTTTGTATTTGCCTGATGATTAGTGATGTTCAGTATTTTTTTCATTTTCTTCCTTTCTTTCTTTTCTTTCTTTCTTTCTTTCTTTCTTTCTTTCTTTCTTTCTTTCTTTCTTTCTTTCTTTCTTTCTTTCCTTCCTTCCTTCCTTCCTTCCTTCCTTTCTTCCTCCCTTCCTTCCTTTCTTTTCTTTCTTTTTTTGTATTGGAAATCAAACTCAGGACCTTGCACTTGTCAGGCAGGCATTTATGCCACTGAGCCATATCCTCAGCCCTCTTTTTCATTTTCTGTTGGTCATTTGTATTCCTGATTTGGCAAATATTTATTTGGGCCCTCTGCTCATTTTTTTAAAGGAATGGTTTTCTTGTTATTTTAGATATTGTGTCCTTATTCAATGTAGGATTTGCAAATATTTTCTCTCTTTTGTTTCCTTGTTCTGTTCATTGCTTCCTTTGTTGTGTAGAAATATTTTACTTTGATGCAACTTCGTTTGCACATCTGCTTTTGTTTACTCTGTTTTGGAGGTCATATCTAAGAAATTACTACACATATCAATATAATGGAAATTTCCTCCTAGTTTTCTTCTAGTTGTTTTATAGTTTGGGGAATTGTGTCTAAATCTTGATGTGTGTGTGTGTGTGTGTGTGTGTGGTTTTTTGAGATAGAGTCTGACTGTGTAGTTCAGGTTGATCTTCTTTTCCTGGCCCAAGGCCGCTGCTGACTCACAGGAAGTGCAGGCTGACATGCTGGTTCTTTTCCTGGCCAATAGCTGCCCCAGGCTATCCTTTTTTTTTTTTTTTTTTTTTTTAAATAAAGGAGATTAAGATAAAAGAGGACATAATAACACAGGTCAACAATTTAAGCAACATAGTGTTTTACCACAAGGTAACCTGACATAACAGTAGTTACCATAGTGTCTCTTTCCTTGAAATATTTGAGTATACCTTCATATACTATAGCATCAAACATAACAAGACAGTGTAAAACCATTCAAGAGAATGACAGTATTACAGGGTATTTAGAACCAACTAATAGAAAATAAACAATGGTTTCTATAATATCTCCTTGTCTATAAAAATTTTGCTTATATTATCATATATAATAAAATCCAATAAGATATAACATTATAAAACCAATGGAGACAGAAGAACAAAAGCTTGATGGGACTTCAAAACAAGCTGATATTAAATCAGCACTAGCTATTATAATGTCTTATTTTCTTCAAAACAACTGTTCATAC